AAACGGGCAATAGAAGAGGGACTTGTCGTGCTTGACGACCGCAAGTACGTCAAGTGGGCAGATGATCTCGAAGATGTATCGATGTTCCCTTCGATGAAGGAGAGCAAGGAGAATAAAGACGAGTAAAGGAATGGAGCCGGTCAGGAGCCAGAGTATCAAGATAACCTTTGAGGGGGACATGACGACCACACCCATAAGGGTGGCAGCCACCAAGTCGGCGAGAGGGTCTACATCGAAGAAAACTGATACGGATTACGTGATGGATGAGGAGGTTATCCTTTCGCCGCGAAAACGGGGAGTGAAGAAGTTTTTAATGAAGAGTTCGCTGGACGAGATTGACACGGTCGAACCACTGAGGAGGGCCCTTCGACAGCCCATGCAATGCTCTATTCTGGAGTACCTGGCGGCATCGAAGCCGGCTCGCGATGAGTTACAGATGATCACGCGCAAGACTCGCATACCTCTATCAGAGGAGGGGCAAGGGGCCCCTAAGGCGGAAGCTTCTACAATAGCAGTGACGGGGGTGACTGCCAGAACGGATCGCATGGCAACAGTCCTTCTCGATGGAATGGAAGGTGTGCCTCCAGACAAATTTTATATACTTGGTAGTGGGGCAGTGGAGACAATTATAAACGATGGAGCGATACTTGATGCTGTGATCGATAACGGCAGTGAGGCAGTTATCATAGACGACGACCTGGCAGTGCAGGTTGGGCTGGGCATCGATAGGTCGTATCTATTCGAGATAGAGACGGCTGATGGCAGAAAGCAACAGATCACAGGGGTTTGTCACAGGGCAGCCATAGAGGTCCAAGGGGTACGAGTGACCCTGCCTGTCYTTGCAGTCAAGAACTGCAGCTCTGACCTGCTCTTGGGACGGACGTGGCTAAGCCACGTGCATGCGGTGACGATAGAGCGACCTGACGGGAGCCAGACATTGTCCATTAAGAAGCCAGACGGGACGCGAGTGATGATTGAGACGGTGGAGCCTCGGGACCCGAGGAACAGAGYCGCTCTCGCTGTGGGTGCGAGACCCAGTGATCAGGTTAGGTCTTTACCTATCTCCAGCCGCGCGGTGCGATTTCGCGRGAAGGAGTATGGACCACTGCTTACAGAGGAAGAAGGCCGAATCGTCGAGGTAGAAGATTTAGGGAGTCGGTTAATAGTGGATGGCAACTCATCCCCAAAGGAAGAAGATGAGGAATTAGGCGGTGTGGTATCCGTGTCTTTTTTAAGGGCACGGCCCCCTACGGGGGGCCGCCTAAGCGACACAAGCGAGTAACTCAAAAAGTTAAGCCGGCGGCGGTGGGCCGCGAGCGATCTCCACTGGAAGGGATATCGGAAGAAGAGATCGCGAAAGAAATCAAAGAAAGGAAGAGAAAGGAGCCACAACGCCTGACAGATGATAGGATAGCAGGGATGGACATCGGAGATGGAAATT